AACACAAGATCCGCCACCTCCAAACGTCTACTACTCGGCGGCTGGGAGTGGTGTTGCCGAAGTCAAGGTCATTTTGAGTGGATTCGTTCTTCATGGATACCTTGGCCTTCGGGTTCTGGTTCTGAAGACCATCGCTTTGATTTTGAGCGTGGCTTCTGGGATGAGTCTGGGTAAAGAAGGCCCTTATGTCCATATCGCAACGTGTGTGGGCAATATCGCCTGCAGATTGTTCTCCAAATACAATCTCAACGACGGTAAGAGACGAGAGGTCTTATCCGCAAGCGCTGCTGCTGGGGTCGCTGTCGCTTTTGGTTCACCCCTGGGTGGAGTCCTTTTCAGCCTGGAGGAAGTCAGCTATTACTTTCCCTCAAAGACTCTATTCCGAACATTCTTTTGTTGCATCGTGGCCGCGTTGTCCCTCAAGTTCCTGAACCCGTACGGGACGAACAAAATTGTTTTGTTTGAGGTCCGTTACATCACGGACTGGCGTTTCTTCGAACTTTTTCTATTCATCTTGCTCGGCGTTGCGGGTGGGTTGGCTGGTGCGCTCTTCATCAAAGCGTCTAGATTCTGGGCCACCACTTTCCGCCGCATCAAAATCATCAAGACCTTTCCGATGTTGGAAGTCCTCCTCGTGGCACTAGTTACCGGCCTCGTCAGCTTCTGGAACCGATACACCCGACTGGCCGTCACAGAGCTGCTTTTCGAACTGGCGAGTCCGTGTCAGAAGCATTCGTCAACGGGTCTTTGTCCCAAAACAGAGGATGAGATACTCAGCGTGATTGGGTATCTGAGTTTGGCATTCGTCATCAAGGCCATCCTCACGATCATTACCTTTGGAATCAAGGGGCCTGCGGGCATCTACGTTCCATCAATGGTGGTCGGAGGTCTAATGGGTCGCATAGTCGGTCACTTGACCCAGTATATCGTTGTCAAATTTCCGAATTTCTTCTTGTGGTCGCATTGTCAGGACGCTGGCAACATTGAAGCGTGCGTCACACCTGGCGTGTATGCGTTGGTGGCAGCGGGGGCGACCATGTGCGGTGTCACACGTCTCTCTGTCACTTTGGCTGTCATTTTGTTTGAACTAACAGGAAGCCTCGATCATGTGCTCCCCTTCTCTCTGGGTGTGCTTTGTGCGAAATGGACGGCTGACGCGGTCGAGCCCCTCAGCATATATGATCTTTTGACCGACATGAATTCATATCCGTTTCTCGACAACAGGAGCACTCCTGTCTTCGACTCGGAACTCGGAGACATCACACCCCGTTTCCGCAGGGACAAAGTAATTGACATTACGATATCCCCTCTTGTCAAGGCAAGTGATCTGCGAGCCAAACTCCGACGCTTGCAAAACCTTGGCGAACTCGACGGCGGGCTGCCTATCATCCGAGACAAGAAGTTGGTAGGGTTGATTCCGGCCCCAGACTTGGAGTTTGCTTTGGATAGGCTGGAGGACGAGGACAGTGCGTTCTGTTTGTTGTCGACCGATGACCATGCGCATAACACGCATCGTCGCTACTGGGAAGCATTTGAGGAGGCGGGGTATGATTCTGGACGGGACGATTCTGACGATCAAGACTCCCCAGCCACCAATCCGACTGATTTGACTCCATATATCGATCCCGCTCCGGTGGCCCTAGACATGCATTCGCCTATGGACCTTGTGTATCAATGTTTTGTCAAATTGGGGCTGAGGTACATTTGTGTGTTGAATGAAGGCGAATACAGGGGGATGGTGCATAAGAAGGCGTTTGTGAGGTATATCAAAACCCTGGAGCACAAAGGAGGTCGGCATTGAAAGGAGCATCACAGTGAGTCGGGAAAATGCGGCAGGATATGAAGGACCTAGTCGCCCGAACGTATAGGAGGGTGTCTATTTCTTCAGCTTGTAGTTGCTCACTTCAACATTACCTTTGATGGCGTGCATTTTATGGAGATATAGCCTCTGATGCAACCTCTCACAGCGCAGATATCGACTTATACTCGCATGGCGGGGTTTATAAGAATCAGGGACTTGGGATTGGCATTTCTGAGCGATCTTACCATAGCATGACAATGCCACCTGGCACAGCAAGGTGCTTACTTGGGGCACAACAAGTATGTAATTCAACCGGGCGAGTATTATTCGTCTTGATTTTCTATCCTTGGTGATATTTTTGAATCTTTACGCCCTGAACGTGTCCGGCTGGGCGGAGAGGGAGGGGCCTCGCCTTCTCCTCCCTCCTCACTCTTTTGTGGTGTCTTGTAATTGTGTTGAGCAAGTACTTGTACTCAGAGGCTGTCGGCGATCCCAACGAACTAGCCTCATATAGGTCTAGCAGCATTCCAGTATCCACGAGCTACTAACCAATCCCGGTAACAACCAAGTAACCCCGACCAATCACGCGCGCAGACACCTACGGTCTGCACCCAAGGCTGTGGTCATACAGGGGGGGGGGGGGGGGGGCACGAGGGGTTACGAGGGGAAACTGCTCACACAAAATACCTCGTATGCGTGAGGAGCTAATTACTCGGCATTCGGACCAAGGTCCATGGAAGAGACTCATACAGATCGAGGGATTTTGCTCTCTTTCTTTTCTTCTCTCGACCTTCTCGCCTGTCGTCTGTCTGTCTACTCGCCCACACTCCTTTCCTGCTAAGCTCAGCCCTTGGTCCTTTCTTTCACTGCGCTCGCTCCCTCGCCCGTCAGACCAATGTGTTTTGTTCTTTGTATTTGACTTCATTGTTTATCCTTGACTTCTTGTTGCCGTCTCGCTCATTGTGGCTGTTGTAGCTGTTGTTTGAGACAAAGAAGGGGGAAGGGCAGGCTGGGTTGTCGCGGAACAAAGGACAGGTCTATTCCCTAGATTTTAGACACGTGGTCCGACTTCTCACTTGCTGAACTGATGGATGCTGGAAGGGAAACTCAGGTGGGATGGATACAACTTTGGTTTTCTTCTTCAGGTCCGCCGACCCTCTCATTCGCTTCCTCTGGGAGTCAAGATTCATACCGTAGTGGTTGCCAAACTTACGCTTTGCTTGTCTTTTACACCATCTACCCACTCCCCCAGTGTGCGTGAGGTCTATGGACCCCGGTCTAGAATTTGCCTTGCGCTATGCTCGCCATTGTCTGAGGCGGTTCCGGATTAGCTCTCCCCTCTTAGACGAGTTCTTGTCTTTGTCTAGCCCCCAAACAAGCTCGATCGGAAGAATGGCTGGTCGAGGATATACTGGCTTACTCGCCAGAAACTGCCAACGAGAGAAGGGTCCCCCGTGAGGGAGATGTCCCGCTAGACAAAATCTCTCTGCAAAGTTCCACGAGGCTCGTTCCTGTGCGGCTTCCGTGCCTGGTAGCGTAGTGCACTCATGGGATGCCGGAATCCCAGATGAAAAACCCAGACTGACTGCTCGTCTCGTAGGGGCATTTCTGGTACTGGCCGTTGAGGTCCTCCCCACAATTGTTGACAGTATATCGCGGGCCTTTCGCCTCCGTATCCTTACTAAAGAGCCTCCCTTCTTTGAGCGTTCTGGTCCCCTTCCATTCATTAAACACCCGCTCTCTGAGAAGCCATAGTCGCTCATTTGCAGCCTGGGAACACCTCCCTATACCTTTCTTTGACGTCCACATTTCACCACGTCACACTCCTCGATACACCTGCATCGAATGACAATGACTATCTTTGCGCAAACGAATGCAGCTGTTGCCGAGCAACCCAGCAGCTCAGCACAACAGGTCGAATGGGCCGATACCGTCAACGACACTTGTCAGGATACCAAAGGCCAACACCAAGAAGGCGAGACCGAAAAACAAGATTATGTCGGACCATGGCCCCTCAGACGTCGCAGTAACTCTAGCTGGACTGTCCTGACCGCTGAGAGCAGCGCCGCCAGAGATCCGATTTCGAAACCCGTGGAAAACTCTGCCGCAATCAAGAATATCAACAATCCTTTTATAGCAGGCTTCGCTCTTGAAAACCCCTTCTGCGACAAGTTTCAAACTGAGGATTCAAGTTCCGTTGCTATGGAAGAAAGTGTTGATGTCGCGGATTCCTGGCTAAGAAGCGGAAGGTCGGAATTCAGCCTGACTCTGGAACAAGTGGACCGACAAACCGAAGCCATCCAGTGCATCTTGCGTGAGGAAACAAGTTCTTCTTGGCACAACGAGGATGGGAGGCAACACAATGCAATCCAAAGGGATGGAGGAGGACAGCTTCCAGATAGCTCGACTGGTTCGGAAAGACAAGAACAGCCCTCCGCACAAGATTCCTGGATCCCGACACGACAGCAAATATCAGGAAATATCGAGCGAGAAGCGGCCGCCACAACTCTCAGCCAGCTTGAAGCCGAGAATTGTCAAGCTTGCAGAGAACAGGGCTCAGTTGCACGAGCAGGGAGGTGGATGCTTGGACTGACAGCGGCCACCCTGGGGGCGAGTCCATACTTGGTGTACCATATCTTCAAGGAAGAGTTGATGCAGGCGAGCGCGATGATAAAAGAAAAACAGAGAACCTTCCTGTTTCTGTCACTCCTAGCCATCCCAATAACTTCAGCTTTGAGCATGGTGTTCCTAGCTTGGCTGGGCCTGAATGTCTTGGGCCCGCACAAACGACGAATGAGTGGAGGAACCGAGTATTTCAGGCTCTGGCTGTGTTTTACCTTTTTCACTGTCTGTGGGTATTTCCTGCTTGTTGCTGTCATCTACAAGTATGCGATATGATAAGATGGGATCGAGTGGTGTTTGGGATATGGAGGGAGTGTTTCATCGGAGAGGGTTCGAGAATCGACATGGCGTTGAGGAATGTTGACAAATACCGTTTTCGGACATGGACGAACGCGTCCAAGGAAAGGGTGCGGCGTTTCGCTGACACTCCGCGAGCAGTGGTTTCTTGTAGACACAGCAATAGACAATACAAGATGAGGGAGAATCAAGTTGGCAGTGCCTATAATGGTAGAAGAACAACAGAAAGAAGGACGTTGGTTGGCGTCAACTGCGGTCGCTCAATCGCAGGCTTGGCACGATGGCCATCGTTGAGGCTGCGCAGTTGGAGACTCGCCGTCAACCTGCGTCTCCACCACCATCATCAACATTATTCCAGGCCACCATCAGGTCTGAGCCTCTTTGCATACTCACCGGCTTGGGTGCAGAAGGCCCTCTTGCCTCTCCGCGCAAACGCATATCACGCGCAGACGCTACCAGTGCCGTCTCCCCCTTTACCTGCCAACCATTGTCATGTTCAGATAACTCCAATCACCCCCAGTCGAGGTCAACCTCGCTCGCTTTCAACTACGACGTCTTCAACGGCAGTCCGCGGAGGCCACCTCCCACCTCCATCATGAAGAGAGGCGGCAATACCCTACAAGAAGAGGAGGAGACACTCATGAGTGGGAGCCGGCGAACCTCCAATGATCCTTATCCAAGACCTTCAGAAGAAAGCGTGTCCACTGTCTCGACAGCGTCGCTTGTTCTCGAGAGCCTAAACTCTGTCTTTGCCGCAAAGGAGCCTCCTCAACAGCCCTCAAACTACCGAGACGACGAGAGCGATCTCGAGCTACCTCGATTCAATGACAAGAACTACACCATTGGCAGCCAACGCATGTCCAAAGGTCTTCGTCGAGCAGTCTGGATAGTCTCGATTGTTGGCATCATCGGATGGGTGCTGGCTGTGGTGTTCTTTGTGGCGGGTGGTCGGTATAAGCATGCGTCCACTCTGGATTACGACCACGATACACCCATGAAGAGTTCGGCAAAGAAAGTCACACTCGCAGAACTACAGTCGGGGCAATGGTTGCCCAGGTATGCCAATATTGAATGGACACCCGGACCCAGCGGAGAGGATGGGTTGCTGTTGGAGATCAATCAGCCAAACCAGGATTATTTGGTGGTGGAAGACATCCGAAGTGGTACATCATCCCAAGCAAACGCCTTTAAACGTACCACCTTGGTGAAAAGCGGTTGGATCAAATACGGCGGACAGCAGCTTTGGACGTCAGAATCCTGGGTGAGTCCAGACATGAAACATGTGCTTCTGATGGCGAGCCCGGAAAAGGTCTTTCGACATTCTTTTCTTGGACTGTATTTTATCCTGGATGTTGAGACACAGAATGTCCAGCCGTTAGATCCAGCATTGCCGGAGACCAAGATTCAGCTGGCACAGTGGTCGCCTAGGAGTGATTCGATTGTGTTTACGAGAGATAACAATCTCTACCTCAGACACCTCTCGTCGCCACAAGTGACAACGATCACGACCGACGGAGGCCCCGAGTACTTCTATGGCATTCCCGACTGGGCCTACGAGGAAGAAGTCTTCGCGACCAACACGGCCACTTGGTGGGCAACCGACGGCCAGTATCTGGCTTTCCTGCGCACGAATGAGACCACTGTCCCTGAATACCCCGTTCAATTTTTCCTGTCCCGTCCCAGCGGGAAGAAACCCATTGAAGGGCTCGAGAATTACCCAGAGGTGAAAGAGATCAAGTACCCAAAGGCTGGAGCCCCGAACCCTATTGTTGACATGCTGTTTTATGACATTTCCAAAGGCGAGGTGTTTTCTGTCGACATTGAGGGCGGTTTCCCCGACGAAGACCGTATCATTTTCAATATTGTATGGGCAGACGGTGGAAAAGCATTGGTCTCGGAGTCGAATCGAGAGAGCGATCGTGTTAGGGTTGTCTTGGTAGACGTCCCCACTCAAACAGGCCATACCGTGAGGGTCGTGGACCTCAAAGACGTCGATGGCGGCTGGATCGAACCTACCCAGCATACCAGATACATACCTGCTGACCCGTCCAAGGGGCGAGCGGAGGACGGCTATGTCGACATCGTCATCTCTGACAATGGTAACCACCTGGCCTATTTCTCTCCCCTCAACAGCTCAACTCCGGTCATGCTGACCAGTGGCGGTTGGGAGGTGGACGGTGGGCCGGCAGCCGTCGACCTGGAAAACAACTTGGTCTATTTTGTTGCGGCCAAAGAAGCGCCAACTCAACGCCACTTGTATAGCGTCAAATTGGATGGGACAGGCATGAAGTCACTCGTGCCTACTGATGAAGCTGCATACTGGGAGTCAAGCTTCTCTTCCGGCGCAGGCTATGTGAGTCTGAAATACACTGGGCCTGGCATTCCTTTTCAGAAAGTCGTCTCTACGCCAACCAATCCGGACAAAATCGAGGAAATACTAGAAGACAATCAAGATTTGGCCAAGATGGCCTCGTCCCACGCGCTTCCACATCAGGTGTTCCAGAACATCACCATTGATGGTTACACGCTGCAGGTGGTCGAACGGCGGCCTCCTCACTTTGACCCCAAGAAGAAATATCCCGTCCTCTTCTACCTCTACGGCGGACCCGGCTCACAAATGGTCAACCGCCGCTTCCACGTCGACTTTCAATCGTATATCGCCAGCTCACTTGACTACATCGTGGTTACCGTTGATGGCCGCGGGACTGGCTTTATAGGCCGCAAAGCCCGCACTATCGTCCGCAATGAACTCGGTACCTATGAAGCCCACGATCAGATAGCCGCTGCAAAGGCGTGGGCCGGCAAGCCGTACGTGGACGCTGACCGCATGGCTATTTGGGGCTGGTCGTACGGTGGCTTCATGACATTGAAAGTCCTGGAAACGGATGCGGGCGAAACTTTCAAATACGGCATGGCGGTCGCGCCTGTGACGGACTGGCGGTTCTATGACTCCATCTACACTGAACGATATATGCGCACCCCTCAGAATAACCCTCTCGGCTACTCCAAATCAGCCGTCAGCAACGTCACGGCGATATCGCAAAACGTGCGGTTCTTGATCATGCACGGCGTTGCGGATGACAACGTTCACATGCAAAACACTTTGACTCTACTAGACAAATTTGATCTGGCAGGCGTTGAGAACTACGACGTGCACTTCTTCCCCGATAGCGATCACTCGATACAATTTCACAATGCAAATCACATTGTGTACGATAAGTTAGCGAACTGGCTGGTTAATGCGTTCAATGGGGAGTGGTATCGGACCGAGGATCCAAAGCCAGTTGACTTGGGAGTTTAGTGCCAGGAAAAGTCCGGTAGGAAGGATGCACAAAGTGTTGGTCCCTCCTTTCGCCTCTGTTTTGACATGCTTAGCATTTGCTATGTCCTCTAGCACAGGACATGTGGTCTAGGAGTATTACATTGTCTGTGTAATCGTTCGGTCGACGGGGAACCTGTGTTTTGCTTGAGGATGAGCATGGTCCCTATATATCAATGTCTATACTAGCCTGTGTGATGCCATATTTGGAAGGACGACCTTCAATGAGGAATAACATGACCACTCAGTCGAGGCAGCGGAGAGTCCACCCTCCTATCCTTGTCGCGTGTATTACATTATGAGTAGGAGTCGTCGGAATGTATATCCTAGCGGGCAGTCACATTGACTTTATGGTCACAGGCTGACTACTTCACGTCCTGAGGCACAGGCAGATCACTTTGCCACGTCCAGTACTGGCGGTAAGAGAATGTTGGCACAGTAGCCAAGGTCATTGTGGTGTTTCCCAGATTAAGCAGTGCACCTGAACGTGAACTGAAATTCAGTGAATCACTTACTTCCAGCTGTGCGGGGAAAAACATACTGGCATTGACCTTCGACTTGTGAAATTGGCTTTACGACTGCACTTTGTTGAAAGATAAGTGTTTGGGGAACCAATCAGGAGGAGAGAGAGAATGAATAGGCTTAGACTGCCGTGAATAAACTTAAGCTTAACTGAACAAGTGACGACTTTGAGCCTCGGATATCGTCGCCAGCAACGCCACAAGTGACGCTATATCTTGGCACTTATAGCGCTTATCCTGTTTCGAAATAGCGTCCTTTGTGTGTCTACGGGTATTTAACCTCGCGACCTTTTCTTCCAACTGGCGCTGTCTCTGTCCATATTTTCCATTCTTCTCCTCTCTCCGGCAACAAACAGCAAAATGTTTGGACAATCTGATCACGTAGAACACTCTCAACCTTACACCACAGACGCGATGTGGGGACGTCCACTTGAGCCCTACAAGCCCATGGAATGCTTCGTGTACCGGGGTTCGGTCGCGGGCGGGATCTGGACAAAGCCACGTGAAGTTAAGGACGATCGCAATGGAGTGAATTCCCCAGGCAGTGGTACAGTCACTCCATCTGATCTTCTTTGTGAAGTGTCCGACTAACTTTTGGGTAGGCTCTTTGGCTCCGAGTACCAGTGGTGACCTCTTCCTGCGGAAGCCAATCTTTGATACTCAGTTTCCACGAAGCTCTTCATCTTGTCCGCCTGCTTTGAAAGAGTGTCAAACACCTCATATCAACTCGGATTCCCGAGCCGATAAAGAGATCTTAGCCACGAAACTTCAGACTTCGTTCTGTCCTCTCCCTCCTATCGAAATCATGGATTTTGGAGGCCCGATGTACGATACGGCGTCTCGGACGTGGCCGATTTCATACTCAGTTTTCAACGATGGATCGATCGACGAAAACATCCACGCAGCCACCATCCGTGCACCTGGAGACTTCAATAGCGAAGCATCGCACAAGGTATGAAATCTCCCAAAAGCTCAGTGCCTGTGCTAACTGGTTAAGGTTTTCGGTGCAATCCAGACCGTCACCCTAGCGGCTGGAAAGGCCTACATCAACATCTGTCATTGCCGACGGCCCGGTCGCACCCCTCCTCCTTCCTTCAACGGAATTTTGCTTTCTCATGACAGTGATTGCCACGAAACTGTGAGCTTTTCGGGCTTCTGGCTAGAAGGTTTCAAATTCGTGACAGCTGCACACTTTCTCTCGTCCAATCCACCGTTGAGTGAGGAAGAGAAAAAAGATACACTGGACCTTCTCAAGTACGCTTCGCCGCCACCGTCCCCCAGAGCCATGAGAGCCCGTGTTTCGTCCCAATTTAGCTCCCACGACTGCAACCACTATGAGCACCTGATGGGTCAGCTCCATGTTCCACAAATCTACGATGTTCAGTTAGCAGACCATAATGAAGCCGCCGACATTGCCGTCTTCAGACTAGCGGTACACGAAACGAGACGACCCGAGGTATGGATCAAGAACAGCCAGCTCAGCTCAGCAGCTGCGAATTTTCCAGGCACAGTCCCCAGCATGGTCTTCTCTACGTACTACCCAGCTTCTGATTACCCCGTCAATCCGATAAACAATCTGTCGCCCGTTGAGAAGAAAGAGCAAGAGAATTGCACCAGATTCGAGTTGATGGTCAAAGAGCGGGTGCGCAAAGGCAAGCAGTGTGGAGACAACTCCGACCAGGTACACGTGCCCCGCTTCGAAGACATCTTCCATGCAAATTGCCGATCTATTGGGTTTGGGCATATCGCAGAATCCAGTCCACGGGATGTTTCGCATCGTGGCGCTGTTTTGCGTACCCACAGCATTCCTGGGTTCGCAGGATGTTCCGGCGCGATGATTGGGTGTCTGGAGACTACTCATTGTCCTACTCTCGAAGGTCTGCTAGTCCCGAATTTGTCAGTTAAAATCATCGGCATTTTCAAAGGCGAGAGTGGTGATTGTATGAACTACAATACTTTCAGCGCATTCACTCAGTGTGGCGTCGATAGCATAATCAATTGCTGAGTTGGACGATACCTGTCAATTTTGTTGAGAAAACACTCTGGGGTTGTTTTCTTCCTCAAAAAAGAAATGAAGAAAAAGACTTCGACAAGATAGTTCGAATCCGGGTTGCAGGGTTGACACAGAGTCAGAGTCACTCTAGGAGAAACAATCGATGAGAAATCGGTTCGGTCTGGGGCTCAGCACCTAGTCGAGATGAGAACGGGCAAACCGGAAACATTGGAACCCAAAAAGAAAGAAAGAAAGCCAAAGAAGAGAAAAAGAAAAGAAAAAAAAAAATCAGAAAAAGACGAAACAAGAAGAAAAAAGAAAAAAAAAAATCATACGAAACAGAGAAAAGAAACTGGAGGCAGATGAACACCCAAGACATGGGCAAGGCAAGACGAACGCTGGGGCAAAAACTGTCTTGGATACATAATGAAAGGGTCGGAAGAGGCAAACCCGCGGAGGGACACGGGGTTGGATTGAGATTGGACGTTGTTTGCATGTACGCAGGTCAACTTTCCAGGAGGGCCTCTGAGTTGTACGTACCAGAGGCTCCACCGCACGCGGCGGCGATGGCGAGGGACGCATCCAGGCCAGAAGTTGTACCGGGGTTCTGTTGTTGACCGGCCAGTGCCATGATTAGAGTAGTGATAATGCTAATGAAACCTGCAACCTGCCAACCAGCCAGCCCGCGCAACCTTGCCTTTTCGGATCGGATCGGATCGGATTCCTGCGTGAGCCTTGACTACGGGGGATGCGTTTCATGGCAAGTCGATTCTTTGAATCATTCTCTCCCCCCGCCATGTGTGTGTGTGTGTGTGTGTGTGTGTGTGTTCCTGTCTTTCATGGCGTGTTTCTTTCAATCCACTCTTCGCCCCACCAATATGTCACTTTCCTTCTACCAAAAGAAAGAACATCTTCACCAAGGTCCAGTCTGCCTAGGCGAAGTGAATGGCCTGGCGACCTCACGCGGTGCGATGATCCTCTTCAAATTACATTGCACATTGCACATGCATTTGGTATTAACTCATTACGTGTAGTTTGAGAATGGCCATATTAGGCTTGATTAAACCTCCTAGTCAAAGTTTAAGGAATTAAGCTTAGTTTTAGCCGAATGAAGCTTATCCCGTGGAGGCCCTGTTTGTATGAATGTGTCTCCACACTTGCCTCTTTGGAGTACTCCACCATGAAAAGAGAACGTCCTCGTCGAAATATTCGCCGCTTGCATGGTCATTCCTGGAGCTATAATAACGGACACTAACCGAATGAGCGGACTGCCCCACTCAGGTAGCCGACTTTGCATTCAAGTTCCGGCCATTGTCGTACACCCGATCACCAGTCCCGTTGATGATGTGGTTGATGGCGCTGAACGGCTTCCCATTTAGCCACTGCGTGGTCAAGTGGTTCATCTGGATGCCGGATCCCGTCGGTGTCTCAATGGCATTGTCAAGCTCGACCTGGTTGTCGAAATTGCAGTAGATCCCGAGGCCCTTCCCGATGTGGGTGCTGACATGGTCCCCTACTCTATACGACGCATAGCCTTTGCCGCCAGAGGGCTGTTGCCACGAGTTCTGGTCGGGGATGTCGTAGGGAATCTCCGACTGGTACATATAAACCTGGCCACCGTTACCATTCCAAATGGTCTGGAACTTTTGAAAGTGCTCGACGAAAAGGCCGTAGGCGACCACGTTCTGACCAGCAACCATCAGTCCATTCTCAGCTGAATTAACGGTCCAACCAACCGCCCCAGGGTTGCCGTGATCTGCGCGCCAGATCCAGATGTTGTCGAGGATTACATTATTGGAGTTGATGGTGACGCAGTTGAGTGTCGAGCCTGCGGCTGCTCCCCCAACGCGGCAGGAGAGATCGAACAATGCTGTGGGGTTTGTGCTGTGATCACTTGAACTGCTCGCATCCCCTACGACTAGAAGCTGGGAAGATCGTGTGGGACCCGCATCGAAGATGATCCCACTGATAGATACGCCGTCGACGTCATCGATGACCATAGCCGGCGTGCCGTTGTCAGGGACCAATGTGGCCATTCCAAGACCTAAGATGACGGTGTCGGGGTATTTGACCTCGAGGCTTCTGGAGAGATGATAGACGCCGGGTGTGAGAATCAAGTGGTAGCCTTGGTGAAGGGCGTCGTTGATCGAGTCAGCAGTATCTGAAGTCGCTTTGGCAATATAGAATTGGCTGATGGGTAGCGTTGTGGCTGAGTCCTGCACCGTAGACCAGCTTGTCCCCTGGCTGTCCTTCTTCAACTTCGGCACTTGCACGGCGTAGTCGTTCTCAAAGATGAGATAGGGCTTTTCACGGATGACAGGGGTCTTATCAATCACCGTGAAAGGTTGATCGGGCCATGATCCGGATGGAGGTTGCTCGTCGCCGACAAAAACCATGTTCCAGACACCGCCAATCCATCTAATTAGTACCATGTCACGTTAGCGAGTGGCCATGAGACGCGGCTTCCAGCAGGAATAACGTCAATTTCTCAAAGTGGTTGTGCAGAAGGTCTGTGTCGTATTCGCATCATATTTCTCACCCAATAGCGGAGCAAACCCGGGGGATACGACGTGATTAAGGATCGCTCCATTATCCGAGGCGATGCATGGACTTACTTTGTGAGAGTCGAATTGCGCGATACAAATTGCTGCTGGGAGCCGGAAATGATTTGGTTATCAATAGCCGAGTCTGCAATGAATCCCCCACTGGAATAGTTGGTCGGATAGCGCCAGTCGAAGAGAAACAGCTGTCCGTGAACAATATGTACGCGGCGCAAGAAGGTCGCCTGAGAGACAGCCCAGCCGCTAATATCCCCGTTGGTCGTAGGGACGATGGAGAGATTTTCGACGCCACGCCAGAAGCTGTTCAATGCCAGGCCTTCGGTACTGGTCGCCAACGATTGTACGCCACCTGTGATCGTCACATCGTTCGGCGAATGCCCTAGTCCGTGGACGGTCATGTAGTAGCCCACGTCTACGTTGAGATTGTATGATCCCGGCTTGAAGAGATAGGCATGGCGTTCAGGACCGAATTGGTTGGTGTCCTGACCCTGGAAGATGGGGACTATGGTTGAGGTGATGTCAGCCATGGGCATCGACGGGTCGAAGATGTGCACATTGGGACCAAAGTCGGCTGGGTTTGGGTTCGTTGGTGTGGGACGGGATGTTGATGTCATGTTGCTTCGCCGCTCGCGTCTACAGTGTGAACAGTGAGTAGGAGGATGCTCTAGATGCTGTGAGGGAGTAGTTCGAAGTTCTTGCTCTCCTTGCGTGCACGAGCCACAGAATGACCGATTAAGATAGCGCCAGGGAGCCTTTTTATACTCGACAACAACCTACCTCTTTGTCTATTCGAGTGTTACAATGGTGGTCTCAATGCACCACCTTCTCTTCAGCTGCAGGGGCATTTGCCTCGTTCAAGCAACGCAGAGAGGGGAACCGAAGGCGGTCTAGCAGCAGCATCTAGGCTTCGATTGGAGATGGAGCATGTGGATATTTGCAGCAGGTCGTGACCCGCAGCCGTAGGCTCTTGTCCTCAGCTGAACGGTGATGATTCGCAAAAGTCATGCGGACAAGTGTAGCTGAAGCAACACGGGGTGTGAGAGTTGAAGAGTGGAAGCTGAGAGGACCATCAAAGGGCGAGTTTCGTCTTGGCGCAGCACGTGATCTTATGGTCCTCGGCAGACTTTCCTTGTTTGGTGTCCATGTGTCGGCCTTGTCTTTGTGGAATAAAAGTACGCAAAAGTAAAGAGTCGACGTGCGAGAATGGGAGTTGAGCTGTTTTTCATTGCTTCAGTATACATTGTACATATGTATGCATGCATCCTCCCTCCTCGCAAATCCATTGAGCGAAGTGTGTCATCATCGTCGTTGTCGTCCCTGGTCGTGCATACATGCTCTTCACCTCATGTCATCGGTCGCGGGCAGCCAAATCGACAACAAAACCTTCTCTTAGATTATCATACAAAGTCCCCAACACAAGAATCATCCCCCGTCATTCAGCCGCGATATGGCATCTGGCCATCAAAGTCCTGCATGATCATATCCCACTGTGCCCAGTCCATGGGCATATCCCCCACATCCAGGTCTTGCGCCAATGTCGGCTGCGACGCGAGCATAATGCCGTCTCCCGCAAGAGGCGTCGGGATGGGCTGAAATGCAGGGAGCGGCAGCTGACGCGGAGCCCCCGCGCCGCCAGAGAAACCACTCATAGGGAGTTGGGAATTATCGAAGTTGCTGGTCGATTGCTCCGACAAGGGAGCAGTGTCCCACCCAATCCCAGTCGAGTATTGTTCGCTGCTCTTGTCACCGACGGCCGCGCTATCGACATTTTCGGGCGCATTGACTGACGAACCCGTAGCGGCCGTCGTTGCACGCATGAGCGGCCCACTTTCGCGCTGCTCGCGGAGGATCCCAATATACTCGGGCGTCACCTTCGGGAAAACACCACGGGTAGTCTCACGCAGTGCAGCTTCCCTTGCGCTATAGGCTTTGAGACATAGACTCCCGACTGCGACATGCAAGGGCTTCTTGTAATCAGTCACAAACTGAGGATGATGTCGGTAGATCTCGTCGATCTCTTGCCATGCCTTGTCGACTTCGTCGCCAAGTGTGCGTTCTTTGAGTTCGTTGAGAATGTAGATGAAGGCTTGCCATGCAAAGAAGACTCTGGTGTGCCACATAAACCTCCGCAACTGCTTGGACGAATGGGCCAAATTGATGCCTTCGAGAAGTTTCATCGAGATGTTCCAGAGATATTCTTTTTCAGAAGGAGGCACATCCTTTTCTTTGGCCCATTTGCGGGGATGGTGAGCCATGAGCCTCATGCTGTTGATGGCTCCTCTCCCGATTATGATCGCCATGAATTGTATGGGATTGGACGGGTCGCAGTATCTCAGAAACTTTTCTTCCAGTCGCTGTTCCAGCTCGTTGATAAAGGCATCCCTCTCTTCCAGGTAACTGCTGAAGGGCGAGTCAATGCGCAGGTGCTCAAGAGCCACAGTCGATCTCTGC